TTACGAGCGCGAGCACGCACGTATCCCTGCGAGAACAAACAGCTTATTCGAAAGGTAACCCCCTGCTTCTGGACAGGATAAGATCTACCAAATCCCACGACGCGATATCATGACGAATATAATAACCCCTCTATAAAAAACACGTGCCTCTATCGACCCTCTCGCTTCTGAAATATTCTGACCAAAATAATTAAAACGAAACGCGAATCGCCAAACAGGGAGGATCGCACAAATTTCCAAACAAAATCGGCTCGCGATTGACACCGAAATTGCATCGCCTTGTGGGGGAAAAATCAGCTCGACTGCGTGTACAATACCGTTGACACGTTCGTCGATTTTGTTTGGTAAATTCTAATTAAAATCAAACACTCCCAACAGCTTCGCGCTGCAGCGAACGGGCGAACGTTCGCGGCTTTATTCGCGTATGAATACGTCGCGACATTTGTCGTCACGAAAACTTGAATATTACGTTGACATTCCAATCACAGACGTCGCGTTATGCCGCGTCGATACATTTTTTCCATTTTCTATTCATTCCGCACCTTTCTATGTAAATAATTTCCTTTCCGAACGCCGGGAGCGGCCATGTTGCTTCGCGGAAAGGTCGGAATTACTCGTGCGGGCGCATATTTTTAGAGAAAATTGGGACTTTTGTCGTTTGGAATATTGGCGAGCAACTACGACCCGCGATAAACACCGATAATGAAATGCAAATTGAAAGGTAAATTTCGATAGACGCAAACTGTCGATCGGTAACTACCCTGGGTGTGATATTACATTGTAAATAGCTGTTACACACTGACCATTCTATGCTACAAGTTCGGAGGAAAATATCACAGTGGGCCGGTATAAATAAAAGCTTGAAAATTGTCCGGCACGCTGGATTTGGAAACTCTGTAGAAGTTCGACAGTCGATCGACTGAGAATGGTGTAAAGTATTACAACGATTTGCAACGTAAACGACGGAAAGTTTTGCGTGGTTGGAATGTAATTAAAGGGATACGTCGAGAGAGTATTGTGCCGAGTATTCGTGGGTGTTAATTTAGTCGAGAAGCGGTCGAGTGGCACTCCGATCGTTGGTAGACTCGCGCCTTTTAGCGTTTCGAGGAAACTCTAGCGCGAGAAAAGGTCGATAGCACTGTGCCCCTCTATACAGGTCGCGCTTCTACTCGCGATAATCGAGTGTCGTCGGTCGCGAGCCGTTTCATTGGATCAGGGCCAGTGTCCTGGAGGCCGCGCCGCGCAAATTGCGTCCGCCCGGCCACGCCAAATTGACCAAGAATCGAGGAGGGGGGAAAAACAGCGATTCGAGTAACGTGAAAAATCGCTCGTTTCCGGACCAACCGGCGCGCCATCGCCGATCGCCGTCATAGACGAAACCGATCGTCGTCCGAAATTTCGCATACGCGGTCAGCGAGCTCGTTTCCAGCCGTATTTTCACGCCGACACGATGACCGTATCGTTTCTCCTCGTTAACGCGACGCGATGATAATTATTCCACTCCGTGCCGGTAATTACTCGGATCGCGGGTCGGCCGAAAAATCTGCAACACAAATTTTTCACCCGCACACGCGCCCCCGCCGTCCCCCGCCCGCCGCGCCGATTCCATTCTCGTTTTAATGATTTTCTATAAATTTATCGGGAGCTCGGTTTAAATAACGATCGGGGGCCTCGAATCGTTTCCATGGCACATTTTCGATTCATTTTCCTCGGGGCGAAAGTGTTTCCGCCTCTGTTCGGAATACACGTTTACGATACCGGGGGGGATTGTCCGCTCGGAAGGGACGACATCGCTCATTCCGTGCTTGCGGAATCTTGTTCCGCTCTATTGGCTGCTCGGGGCCAGACACTATCCGTTTCGTACAGTGTTTGCTGTAATTCAAGCGTCGTTCGACTCGACCACCTTCTGTGCCTTTTGTTTTTCATGATAAAAGATGAGGGAAACTCTTTTTGTGCTATTATAGATTGTTGTATTGTAGTAAATACGAGGCATATTGATTGGGTATGCGCGCAATAGAGTACGACTCCGATACGAGTGCAAGTAGAAAAGTCAATTGTTGGTCAGACGCGTCGGGGCTAACTCGTGTTCGATCACTCGCGTATCCAACGAAGCATCTGACAAGGGAAGATCGGAGAGGCTGTGCGAGAAAGCGGTGTGTGCGAAACCGTGTGTGTTCCGGGGCGACCGGTAGCTAGGCAAACGTGGAAAATGTTAACCTGATTTATGGTCGTGGCTCTCCCGGAGCCTTTTCGGAATTTGCATTAGACCAGGAAGTAGACGAATGAACGTCCTGCTGTCTAGGGCAGGAAAAGGGGCGAGAAAAGGAGGAGACAGAAAGGGGGGGGCGAAAGGCGGGTGGAAGATGGAAAGGCAGAGGATACGGAGAGATTAATCCGAACTAACGGAATCAAGGACGACTCGATGGGAAGCTGCGTCCAGACGAAGGACTTCTGGGTGTCCTTCGGTCTCTGTCTCGACTGGATCCGTTTATCGCCGTGGATGCGCGCGGAATTAGATTCGTCCTCTTCAAACAGCTCGTCCGGTTCGTTTCACGGACTTTCCTGCTCGTCATACGTTCCCCCGAATCCTCGAGCATCCAGGAAAAATTCTTCGAACGATCGAGAGACGAGTCTACCGCGCTATCTCGAAAGATTTAATCGAGTTCCATCGACTGCGACGGTACTATCGCGTTTTACGATCGAGCCGAGACCCCGGCAGCCACCTGGACCAACGATGGAAATGAAACTTTTCCTTGCGGCGAATCAAGATCTCCGCTCGGAGGCGTCTCGTTGCTTCTCTCGGAAGGTTAACCTCGATAACGTATCGGAGTTTCGAACCGCCCCAGAGGCCGAGGGAACCTAGCGACCGACGGAAACAGAAGAAAAGATTATCGAACGGGACACGAGTCCTTAAACGTCGACACAATAGCCACAACCTTGTTGCAAAAATTTCATTAGAAATACCAAAGCCAGTTACGGATCATCGTCGATAATTTACGCTAATGGACCACCGGCGGAGAATAAAAAAAAGGTAGTTTGGAAGCAGGGAGAACGAGGGGATTCGAAAGTCTTCGGAGACGTCCGCGTGTTCGCCGGATGCGGACGAGGACCGAGGCGAGATCGGAATACGGATCGTCGAAGGGGCCAGTGGTTCCGGAAGAGAAGCCAGAGATAGCCAAGCGTGCAACAGAGGCGAACGGATCCCGCTGGAAGAGAGGAAGATCGTGGAGAGGAACGGAGGCGCCTGCGCCCTCGGCTATACCGAGTTTCTGCGTACGTTTCCACCAGTCGGGTCTTCAACTCCGGACCGCGAACACCCAGTGATCGGGGGCCGCGCGACTCCACCGCCACCGGTGGAAACACCCTCTGCACACCCGACGCGGTTCCGCGACCGGAAGCGACTCGGTTCGCGCGCGCCAAAGAAAACGGCCAAAGTTCGATCGAGCGTTCGAGAGAGCCTCCGCGACTCCGCCTCTCCTACTCCGAGTTCCCGAAACTTTTCTCGGTCGGTTGGGAACTTTTTGCCGCGCGCGTTTCACCCGCACCGGCGTTTTTTTACGAATCGCTCCCGACCGCCACGAGGGTACATCGGTGTTCGCGTCGACGGGGGAATTCGGGTAAAAACGTGGATCGATTCCCGCTGGTCATTCTGTCGAGGAGGATCAAAAGGCGCGACCCGTTAACGTCGTTAGCGCTAATTAATCATCGGCGGCCGGATAAATATCGTGTATCAGGCTCGTAACCGGGCGCGAACGCGCGCGCCGGCGTCTGCCGATAATTATGAACAGGATAACTCATTAGTCGCAGTCGACGTTAACGGCCTCGTCGCGGACGCTCGCCTCCGCCCTCTTCGTTCGATCGTCGATCGAGTTTACGCGCCCCGACGAAAGAACGCTGGGCCTCGCGTAATCGCCATCGAAAGTAATTAGATCTCCTGCCCCGACAGTTTCCTTCCTCCGAAAGTCGCCCCTTCAAGGAGCTCTCGATGCGTTTCGCTCCGACCTTCGCCGAGTTCACGCAAACCGACGATCGAGGGACGCGAAAGAGGACCTAATCGAGTGTCGAATCGATCGCGACAGATTTCCGGCCGGCTGGGAGAATATTGTTGCGCGACCATGAAGCATCAGCGGCGCGTGCAGAGGAGCGCGCGCCGGCCCGTGGCCGTTGAAACGGACTTTCCGCGGCGTTAATTAATCCTCCGCGGCGTCCCGATGTTCGACGACCGCCACGAAATAGAATCGCGAACGGTCCACGGCCAAGATAACGAGCCGGTGGTTTTGCGGTGGAAATAATTTCGAGGGAACCGAGACCCTCGACCGTGCCGTGCCTCGCTGTAATTAGCAAACAGTCGTCGAGTGTTTCCGCGCGGCCGGTTCGATTTCCTTCGGCGAGTCTCGTCGACGAAACGCCGATCAAAGGACCCAGGGGCAAATCGTGAACCCCCGTGAAAAGACACTGGTGCCGCTTTCAACGACCGACGAGAACCGCAAAGCGGTCACCGCGACGTCGTAAACCCGTGGATCAAAGGACCAAGATAATTCCGACTCGCTGGACGCGGAAACGTGCTGAGCAAAAAATGAACAAACGATCCGAGTAAACGTTTGGTAAGCGGGAATAAATGACCCTGTGGACGCGAGAAGTCCGTCAGTGGGCGAAGATGCGCGGAAACGAACGTCCCGGTAACGGAAGATCGAAGGGGACAATGGCTGGCGGTCTCTGAGCCTGGCCTCTGGTGCTCAGTTAATAGCGTACAGCTGACGGGAGGTTCTCGGGTGGTTCTGCCGCGATTATTTCGCGATCGTGGAGGCTGACAAGCATGACGGGAGACGAGTGACCGCGCGAACGGTACGAAACGTTGGCAAGCGCCAAAGCACCACGGATAGGAAAACGTAGAATCGCTGCCGGGATAAATATCCTGCGGGCGAGCCGGTCAGCCGACGGTGATGGCATGAGGACATTAGTAAGGAAGAGCTGCGGGTCCAGCGAGGAGGAGGATGAGGATGGTGGTGGGCGTGATGGTCCTTGGTCAGCTACTGACGAGGATTCTGCTCGCTGCCCATGCCGGCGATCGACTCGCGGCGGCTCGCAGAATACTCAGAGACGTGCCGCTAATAGATGGGTAAGTGCGACCAAACACACAACCTGGGATAGAATAATAATATTCGCTCATCCTCCGAGTCGTTCGAAAATTTCTGAGAACAATCCCTATCGAGTGCCCCAAAAGTTTCTTGCGGAAACAACGCCATTGCATTCGACGTCATTTCTAAACTCTTTCAAGTATCCTATCGTTTTGTCTTTACTCTCGAAGGAATCCGAGCAACGGAAAGTCGAGTCACGAGCGCGACGGTGGAATGTATTCGGTAGCAGCGTCTCGTAAAACAGGGAATTACAACGTAAAAACGGTAATTGATGACCAGTGTCGAGTAGCAACTTCTGCCCCAGAGGACATTAGACGCTAAACGATGCTTCGAGCATAGTTTTACGGGGGACATACACCGAAACGCGATACAGCCGACGGGCCAAACTTTGACCAGTGCTCGATAAAAAAGACGCAAGGAATAGCTTTGTTTCCGGTAATCGTTCGAAGCGTTCCATTTCGATAAAAGCTTTAATTTCGCGCATGCTCGAAACCGCGTATTGTTCATCGCGATAAATAAATAAGTATCAGTAAGTGTCGCGCACAATTTTCCAATTCTGCGAACGCGTGATTCACGCGGCAAATTAGTCTCGTGCGAATTTGTTAGGTTAACAAAGCAAATATTTGCAGGCGTGCGGCACGAAAACGGTAAATAATTTTATTCGGTGAAACCGATCGAACGAGAAATCCTGTGGTTATCAAAGCTAATAATTTGAAACAGATAACGTTTCGTTCGAGCGAACTCGGGAATTAGGCCGAGCATCCAACGTCTTACCTATAGGAAGTGCAATGATTTGGACAGTGAAACCGAGAGTTCGCGCGACAGGAAATGAGTAACGAGACTTGAAGGTTTAGGAGTTGACTCGAGAAACTATAGTTGCCTGACCTTTCTCTTCTAAACTTCGCCACGTTGTAGTCTCTGTTCCGGGGAGGCCCGAGCTTATCTATTTTCATTTCAAACCGGCGACACTTGGGGGACGTTGACCGGTACATCCCCGAGAGAGTATAATAGCGTAACTAAAATCTGCATCGTACACGGATTACCGGATCCGCGTAAACCTACACAGCCAAATCATTTGATCTATGAACCATCGTCTACGAGTGTCCGGGACTGATAACCCCGAAACGCAGGAATTCCTCGCTGACGATATGCAACCTGTTCCACTTAACGACGACGGAAACACCGAATCGAGCGAGAATTCGACCTCAATTGACTAAATATACTCCAGAGAACAAACGAGTCCTTTGATATTTTTGTGAACTATAAAAATACGAATGTAACAACGAGTTTGGATATTAAATTTTTGAACGTAAAAAGAATTCTTCGTCTGCTTAATGTGGCTTAACTCTTTTTGGATCGCTAAACGTTACGAGCTGTAAAAATGTCTGTGCGATAACGAACGCGGCGTGCATCCCGTCCGATGAAAGAACAAAATTGGCAATTGTTACACGCGAAGCTTCCGTCCGGTCGATTAGTATGAATTGTGAAAGAGGAAGCAAAATCGAACGGGGGAGATACAGAGGCAGGAGTTTCCCGTCCGCGGACGGTAATGTTCCCATTGGCTGTTTCTCCCGGTCCGCGAATTCTTGGCGCGCTCTTCGTAAAATTGTTGAAATTTTAACGAATAACTGAAAACTCCGACGCGATCGTTAACTGGAGTGCCGTTGAAACACGAGAACCGCAAGGCACGAATTTATAGCCAACGAGAACAATGTCGTCGTAACGACGCGCGTGGACGACATTCTATGGCCGAGCGTGCCTCTAATTACACTGGAATTAAACTTGAAAGGAATGTCCTCTCCGTGTCCGATTCGCGATAAAGCGTCGAATGATACCGGGGTACGGTCGCTTTTTCTGCCCTCGGAAACGAGCCAGCTTTCAATCCTCGCGCGACCGTATCGATCTTGTAGCGTTTATCAACGCAGCGACATCAAATTTCTCGCCGGGCGAATAACCCGAAAAACGAATCCTCGAAAATTGTTTTCGACGCGATACGTTCTCCCGCTATTTTCCTTCCTTGTCGCCCCGTCCTCAAACGCAAACTGTCTGTGATCGCGAAACCGTGAAACACTTGGCTTGGTACGGTTGTACCTCGAACGCGAACCGGGGGAAATTAATTGTTTCTCGTGTAAACTCGTTCCTGTTGACATTCGGAAACCGGGGGGAAAAAAACGTGTCTTTCGATTCGATTCGACGCGTATGTATCGTACGTTTCGTCGAAATTGTTACGAGTTGGGAGCGATGGACTGTGAGAAGTATAAACATTGGTGCACGAGTAAAAACTTTTCTTTTAATTACGACCCTTCCCACCCTTAAAGTCGTTTATATTTTAGGTGCATAAATGTCAAACGTTCTTTGCATATCTTACTTGCATAAACATCTGCGGTGTGGCTGTGACCAAGGTAAAGTTCCCCGCAGTAATGCGAAGTAGCATGCGAAGAGCGTAGGTGAGCGGAAAATATTGCGTAATGGCGTGTGCATGATTGGTCGGAACTCGTAATGGTGTACGCGGTAAATTCGAATTTGTAGTATGCAGTAAGTACATCAAGAGTAAATGGCTTCTTTAGTGCTTCCTATCTAAATGTGCGAACCACGCGTGCGACTGTGGTCGCCGGTACATGAAACCCAATACCAGACCCGAGCAAAATGTAATCTGGCTACGTCCGCTGCGATAAAATTACACGCGTTCACATCGTAACTACACGATAATTAAATAGCTGTTGCGCGCTTTAAAGATTTACAATTATAATTCCACCGTGATTGGACGGTAATTAGCCCGTAACTACGCGTAACGGTAAACACAATGAAACTATATCCTGCCCACCTGTGCCTCGTAGTAAATCAAATTACAGATACTGTTATTTATTTTAAAATGTAGAAGTATCGAAAAAGGACTTTGAAAGTAATTAACGGTTCGCGAGTGATGTCTCGGGGACGATCGAAGCCACCCGGCGGGATTGTTTCTTTATCCTCGGAGCGAAAGAAAACGAAGGGTGTGATCCAATTGGACGAAACTCGAGAGTCGTGCATTCTCTCGCTGATAATGAGAAAGTTTCGCGAACTGCAGAAAGAAAAGACGTTAATGGAGGAGAGAGAATTAAACAGAGTTTGAAAAAAAATGCAAAGAAAGTATTGAAACGAAAGAGCCGAGAGGAACGGGCGGAGAGCGTGGAAGAAACAGAAGGAAGATAGAATTTAGCTCGAGGATGGCTCGCGGCTATTTGGTCCTCCAGTTTCTCGGGTTACTAGAGGGTGGATACGAATTTCCGGTTCTCCCGTCTGGAACAAGCCCCTGTGTCTCTTCTGGCTACTTTCGCTCGTCCATGTTTCACGCGAACCGTGGCGCGAGTGGGTGAATTCCGGTCGAATAACCTGTCGGATCGAAAGGCAACACAATGGTCTCGGTCTTTCGGGCGAACGTGTGTTTCCAAAAGATCGGCAATAGTTTTCTTTCGATCGGTTTTTGCATCGAGAATGTATTTGCGACCGCGAAACGAAAGATTATAACTCGATTTGAAAATTCCATCGAGCGGAGTTTTGCATTTAAATGGAGCACCGTTAACGGAACGTTGCGGCGGGCTTTTCTTTTCGATGATCGCGGCCCAGTTGCGACCGTCTATTTCCGGCCACGTTTCAAGATTAAGCTACCGACCCCGTACCGTACAGACGAGAATGACCCTTTTGTTGTTGCAAATTACTGTCTTCTGCCTGGTTACCCCGACCGCGAACGGAACCTTTCACCTTTGGGTCGCGATAGAAATTCCAGAAGTCCTCCAAGGTATCGGGGATAAAAGGCACCGTTAGGAGATAGGAACACGAGCGATTTTGCCCGATTGTTGACGAGTCGAAGCCGATTCGTTACCGATAACGACTGAAAGCCTCGTCGAGCCTATTGTGCGCCGTATAATAGTTTGCATTTTCCCCTCCAATCAGTGGGACAGAGAGAGAGGGAGGGAGAGAGAGATGATCGAGGTTTGAAGAGCTTACGTAACAATTGCTCTATGAGAACCGTAACGGTGTCCGTAAAACCGTAAAAATGGATGCGACCGTCCGACGGAATTTCGAGACCGGCCAATCCGCGCGCATTGTCATCGAACTCAGTTTCGCGGGGTACACACGCGCAAAAACAAAAAGCGGCTAGATGCGTTCCGTTTCTACGCAAAAAAGTGTACGAAAGGATAGAAAATATTTGTCCATTCACGCGTTGTTATAACAGCCGGGAATAATATTAAAAATTTTTAGACGCGGTTAAATAAACTCGAAACTTTTACGAAATATATTAATTTCGCGAAAGAATCGACTGGAGGCTGATAACCGGTCGCGCGATGATTTTCTAATTACTCCGTTCAACCGGCGTGCAGAGATATTTAATTATTCGAAACGCGAGAGTAACCCGAGAACGGTAAGCAGGCAGAAAGGAATTAGAGTACAAAGCAGCTTTTTCCCCCCGTGGGGATTTCGTTCGAACCCTTTTCGGAAAAAAAAGCACGCGATAAAGAAACACGACTCGACTGCGTTTCGCGCCATTCTGCTTGACCGAAAGCCTCGCGAGGTTTCCGGCCAAAGACGGGGGTCTCCGGTGACTTTGCGGAAGCTTCTGGTTCTTTGTGCTTGGCGGTTTTCGCGGCGACGAAACCTTTTTTTCGACGACAACCCCTGGATCTCTACATTTGTCAAAATTCTCGTCCCTTTATCGGTGGAAAATATCATTTCTATAAACCTCATTTGGTCAATTTTCGAATTTATACCCTGTCTATACCCATAATTAACGCAGTTCTATTTGAATATTCAATCTAATGAGTTCTTTGGTAATTTACTTCTGCTAAGTTTGAAGAGTAAAGTGTTTAATAAAAATCGTAAACAACTATTTTATCCAGATCTCCAGGGAAGAGAGCTTCACGGCCGGGCCATATCCATATGTAAAATTGCCAAACTTCATGACCCACATTTCCCTATACCACCGAAGAGATTTCAATCAAAT